CAGGTGGTGCCGGGGGTGGGGGGGGGCGTTAAAGGGGTATCAGAGCCCACAGGCCTCAGCCAGAACCCAGGTGGGACGGCCAGGGGATCAGCCCCCTGCCATGAGGACTTATCCTGTCCTTGGACACACCCAGGGACGGAAACACACAGCCAGACACGCCCCACACACAGACACCAACACCCAGAGACACACCTTCCAGAGACCCCAACACACACCCGTGTACTCGACGTCTTCTCACACACCTGCAGACATATACACCCATATGCTTTCAGTCCTACACGTATACCACACACGTGCTCGTACACACACACACACACACACACACACACACACAGCCACAACTCTGCTGTCGGACACACAGATAGGTAAACAGCTGACCGTGCAGAGACGAATGTAGGTTCAGACACACCCCTTCCAAAAACAGACCCACACCCTGACACGTGTGCAGACATACCCGTGGGGACAAACACCCAGATACAGGGCACACTTACATGTACCGAACACACCTGTGAACACATGTGCACACCAACACCAATGTCCACATGCCTGAGGACACACACGTCGCCAGGCCAGCCCATAAGGAAATCTTCACACTCACACCCACAGAGGTATAAATGTACAACACGTGTGCACACGAGGGCCGTCATGGCAACGCCCACAAATTCACACCCAGAGACACGGTCATCTTTTCAGATGCTTGACCCAGGGACACCGCTGCCTTCATATTTGAATGTTCCCAGACAAGCGTACACCCACAGACATATTTGCCCCCCAACAAAGACACACCCCCACCCGCACACTCACTTCCTAATAAGCATCCACCCACAGGGGCTGCCACCGCCCTGCACGACTCCAGGGAGCATCACTCACACTGCCTGCTTTCTGAATGGAGCTTCCCGGAATTGTGCAGTGCACGGTCTGCACAGCGGTCCATGGAAGCCCTGCAGTTCCAAACCCACACAATGCATTTAATACACACAGATACACTTGGATTTGCACCTGGACCAACTCACACACCTAGAGACACATCCTTCCAGCACAGCTCATGCATATAACACAGTTATGTCCCTGCATAACCGTCTGTGCACAAGCATGTACCCTCCACAGGCGCACGCCTACCGTGCCGCCAATACACCAGTGTTGCAAGGGGTAGCTGACGAACCAAATGCTACACGGGCCCACAGCCACAAATATACACCCGCACACCATACGAGCAACAATCTCAAGAGAGATAGTCACCTGCAGACAGGTGTACAACTAGACACACGCACACACACCCCAGCACACACACACACATCAGGCTTCGCCAGCCCTGAGAGAACTCAGAATCTACAGGAGCTGTCAACCTGGAAGCTACTGCCCAAAACCTGGCCCCGCCCAGGGAGCGGCCCCATCCTATTGTTTCTATCCAGTGATTGGTTCTATGCTTATAAGCCACGCCCAGTGTCTGACCCCACCGCACAGGCCTCGCCCACGGATTGGCCCTATCTACATCAGCTCTGCCCAATAGTTGAGCACCTATAGACCCCGCCCAGGGTTTGGCTCCATCCAGGAGCTCCTACACAGGGATTGGCTCTACCCCAAGCCACACCCAGTGGTTGGCCCCACCCACCGGCCCTGCCCACGGCCCAACCCAACCAACTGCACACCTTATGCGAGGCCATCTCGCTGACCGAGCGGTAGGTCTGCATGCTCTCCAGCTGCTCCAGACACCAGTCCAGCTCCTCCAACGTCTCCCGGGCCAACTGCTGACACGTCTCCTCTGGGGAAGGGGCGGCATTGGGGGCCGAGATTGAGAAAGTCCACATGCAGACCTCAGAGACCCCAGTCCGCAGTGATGGGGTGGGCCAGGTGATTAGGGTACTGAGGGACCCAGACCCTGCTGGGACACCCTGCTGGCCTTTTCCTATCGCCTGGGATTAGCTTACCTGACAGTGTGGCTTTGCAGACGGGGGTCTGGCCACTCAGCGGGGATCTCCTGCAAAGAAACAGGACTCTAATGTCAGCCAGGATCCCCCAAACTCCTGCCTCCCCCTCTCTGTGAATACCACCCATGTTCCTTTCTCTGAGCTCTGGCTGTGTCCCAGACACTCTGCCATTGTGTGCCAGCAGCCGCAATGAGCCCCATAAAAACCCATTTGTAGAGGAGAAGATCGAGGCTCAGGAATATGAACTGGCTTCCTCAAAGGGTTCCATGCTGTGTCCCCAAAGTTCCCTGGACCTTTACCCTCAGCAGTTTTCAGCCATACCTCCTGCCCTAAAATAAGAACTACTTCTGGAACCAGCAGATGGCGTAATGGTTACGTCGTTGGACTTCATATAGTCGACCACGGTTCGAGTCCCGGACACAGCTGCTTAAAACTCACACCAAGATCCTGAGAGGAGAATGGAGGACAAGGATCTGCAGCATAGCCATCCCTCCAGGGGGTGAGTTCTCGTTTTCTATTTGTCTCTTCAGCAAGTCCCCATGCCCTATAGCAAAAAACCCTCTTTCTCTTTTTTTTTTTAACAATTATTTTTATTTTAATTACTTTATTTGAATTTGACCAGAGAGAGAGTGAGAGAGAAAGGGAAAGTGAGAAAGCAAGCCACCAGGTCCAGGACTTGAACCACAGTCAGCCATGTGGGAGTCCAGTGCCCATAATCACCATGCCACCTGCTGGCCCCAAAAATCTCTCTCTTAAAAAAAAAAAAAAAGAAAAAGAAAGAAAAGAAAAGAAAAAAAAGAACTACTCCTCAGTCAGTAAGTGGTGTGGAAGTTAAGGTGCTGGATTCCATATGGCCAACTGCATGGTTCAAATCCTGGATCGAGCACCTGGGAAAACATGTTAGGAGCGTGTGCCTGCATGGGTGCCCAAAAATCCTGAGAAGAGACTGGAAGAGAAAGGATTATGGCATGGCCATCCCCCTGGGGAATGATTTCTCACTTTCTCCCTCTCTCTTTGTCTTTCTCTGGCAAGAGCATGTGCCCTCTAGCAAAAACTAAAACAAAACAAAACAAGCAAACAAAAAACAATCACTCCTGTTTAATGACCACTTACTCTGCACAGAGCAATGTTCTAGCACCTTCCAGATACCATAAATCCCTCATAGTAGCTATCTAATAAAGCACTCCTATAATTACTATTTCTTTTTTTTAAATTATTTTATTTCACTTTATTCATTCATTCCTTTATTTATTTCAATTTGACCAGAGAGGGATAGAGTAATAGAGAAAGAGAGAGAGAGAGAGCAAGATGCCAGGTCCAGGACTCGAACCACAGTCAGTCAGGTGGGTGTCCAGCACCCTTAATCACCATGCCATCTGCTGGCCCCTATAATTACTATTTCTTAAAAATTATTTTTATTGGGAACCAGCAGTTAGCGTAATGGCTATGTCTCTGGACTCCCACGTAGTCGACCGCGGTTCGCGTCCCGGACCCGGTGGCTTAAAACTCACACCGGGCACGTGTGCGTGCGTGCCCAAGATCCCGAGAGGAGAATGGAGGAGAAGGGATTGCGGCGTGACCATCCCCCCTGGGGGGTGATTTCTCGCTTTCTGTCTCTAATGTCTCTCTCTGTCTGTCTGGCGAGCGCACGCGCCCTATAGTGAAAATCTCTCCAAAAAAAAAAAAATTATTTTTATTTTATTTATCATTACTATTATTTTTTCAGTTTGCTACAGGGCTTGTATGCTCACCAGAGAGAAACAGAGAGAGAGAGAGAGAGAGAAAGTGAGAAAGCAATCCACCAGGTCCGGGACTCAAACTATGATCAGTCATGTGGGAGTCCTGCGCCTTACCCATCACGCCACCTCCTGGCCCCTATTTAACTGAGTGGGAAGAGACACATCATGGGACACCATTTCCCTAGCTAGCTGGTGTGAGGACCTGGAGTGGCCCTGGGACTTTGACAGTAATATCACTACAGGGCATCTAGACCCCTAGGTCTCTACTTGCAACTCTTCTGTGTCTTAGGACCCTGGCTCTAAGAAAGTGGTTGCGTGGATTGAGGCTCAGAGAGGTTGAGCGCCCGCCCCAGGTCACACAGCCTTGACTTACTTGTTGCTGGGAAGGGGCACATTGGTCAGGAGTGAGAAGTTGCTGCGGACGCTCCGGAGACTGGCCAGCACCTGAGACGGGGACAGCAGTTAGGATGGATGTCACCCAGAGGGACAGCGGGGAGGCCTTCTCTGCTTCACCGTCAGGGGACGAGGCCTCACCTGAGCAAACGGCGTGACGATGAGGTCCTCGGCGTGCCTGAAATCAAGGACATGGTAGGTCAGGAAGCTCCAGAGAAACTGGGGTACGCTCTCTGGGGTACACTGTGGGGGCTGGGCCCGGGGGGACTTCTGGGCAGGAAGAGGGGCTCAGCTGGGTGGACGAGCAGAGAAGCAGCAGAGAAAGGAACACACCTGCTGCAGGAGTGGGGCTGTGGGGGGAGCAGAGGATGATGGGGGGCTTAGGGGACACCCCGATGGGCAGGGATGGGGACCAATGACAGGACGAGGCTGGGTGGGACCAGTGGGTGCTCACACTTCCACACGTGGTCACAATGTGGCAACTGGCTTGGGGAAGGTGGGGGAGGGCGGGTGCTAGTGTGGACTTGAGCACAGGACAGGGGTGGCGTCTGGGGTCAGGGAGGAGCTGGGTGGCTGGGGGCGGGGTGCACATGCTTTCTGCCAGGCAGGAGACCCCATTCCTCGCTAGGAAGGGCAGCTTGTCAGGGGAGGGCAGACCCCAGGGAAACTGGCGAATGGGAAGGGGCGATGCTCACGCCTCGCTGGTGACCGACGAGTTCCGGGACATGGTCTTGGGTGACATGTCATAGTCGCTGTCTGAGCGGTACAGGAAGGACTCTCGGCGCTGGCTGGTGGCCGCCCCAGCGTGTAGCACCAGCCCTGGGCTCGCCTGCGAGTCCAGGGGGCTGCGGCCAGGTGAGGGTGTGGGGCCATTCTCCCCCTCGAAGCTGCAGAGAATAGACAGGCAGGAAAAGGTCAGGAAGGCTAGGAGAGTGCTGGGGAGCGGCCAGCAGGTGGTGAAGTGGTTAAGGTGCTGGACTCCCACATAGCTGACCGTGGTTCAAGTCCTAGACCCGGAAGCTTGAAACTAACATGGGGCGTGTGTGTGCACGCGCCTAAAATCCCAAGAGGAGAATGGAGGAGAAGGGATTGCGGCGCAGCCATCCCCCTAAGGGGTGATTTCTCGCTTTCGGTCTCTCTGTCTCTCTCTGTCTGTCTTTCTGGCGAGCACATAATGACCTATAGAAAAACCTCTCCAAAAAAAAAAAGATGGGGGGACCAGCAAATGGTGTGGTGGTTAAAGCACTGGACGCTCCCACATGGCGACCACAGTTCAAGTCCCGGACCTGGTGGCTTACTTTCTCACATTCCCCCTTCTCTCTATGTCTCTCTCTGGTTAAGTTAAAATAAATAAATGAATAAAAAATAAATTAAATAATTCTTTTTTTTTTTAAAAAAAAGATGGTGTTGGGGAGGGCAAGAGGGATGGGGAGACCTAGGAAACTCCTAGCAGAGATAGAGGCAGGTCAGGGGACACTGTCCTCTATAGGGTCTATTCACGCTGCAACCCAACCCCTGTCCCAGCCAGCCCCACACGTGGGTGCCTGGTTTGCTCAGGGAGTTCCCAGGATGTGAAGCCAGGACTGTTCCTATGCAAGTCTAGTTGCGCTGCCACTGTGCCATCGCCTGGTCCCAGATGGAGGATGTTAAAGACAGACAGATATTGGAACCAGCAGATGGCATAGTGGTTGCATCACTGGACTCCCATGTGGTCAACTGAGGTTCGAACCCCAGACCTGGTGGCTTAAAACTCACGCCGGGCGTGTGTGCATGCCTACTCAAAATCCCGAGAGGAGAACGGAGAAGGGATTGCGGCGTGGCCATCCCCCCCGGGGGGTGATTTCTCACTTTCGGTCTCTCTGTCTCTCTCTCTCTCAGGAGAGCGCACATGCCCTATAGCAAAAAGAAAAAAAAAAATCTCTGAAAAGAAAAATAAAAACAAAAGAAAGAAAAAACCAGATGGATTCCTCTGCAGGAATGGGAGACCGGGACTCGCACAGATCGGACAGTTGTGGACCGCGGTGTGCCAGGCCCTGTCATAGATACTGGGACACCCCAAGATGTGGGACCTCCCCTGGCTCGGTCCTCCTTTACACCTCCTTGCCAAACTCCATTCTGAATCTATTTTTTACCCTTCCTTTTTTTCTTTTAAAGAATTATTTTATTTTATTTATTCATTCATTTATTTTAATTTGACCAGAGAGAGACTGAGAGAGAGAGAGAGAGGAGAGGAATAAAAAAAGCCACAAACCAGGTCCAGGCCTCAAACCGTGGTTGGCCATGTGGGAGTGTCCAGCACCTTAACTACCATGCCACCTGCTGTTCCCCATATTTTTTACCCTTCCTTAACGGGGCCCCTCGATTCTAACCTAGACTGGAGTGTCACCTCTGTCCTGGTACGAAGCTCGGAGTGTCCTCCATGGTCTATTCCTCCCATAGCCACTAGATAGAGCCTGTGAACACCTGAGTCAGGTCAAGTCCCTCCTCTGCTCAGCACCTTCTATGGCTCCCACCTAACTGAGGGCAAAAACTGAAGTCCTCAGGCCAGCAGGCAGTGAGGAGGTTAAGAAGGCTCGATCCCACATGGCCAACTCCATGGTTCGAGTCCCAGACCCAGGGCCTGAAAAACACGCTGGAGGCATGTGAGCACATGGCCAAAATCTCAAGAGGAGAATGGAGGAGAATGGAGTGCAGTGTGGCCATCCTTCCTGGAGGGGAAGGGGGGATTTCTGACTTCCCCTCTCTCTATGTCTGTCTCCACCGAGCGCTCACACCCTGTATTAAACAAGAGCAATAACCAAAAAAGCAGAAGGGTGGGTGGGGAGCGCAGGGGTGGGGGGTAGAATGGGGGGTAGAAGAAAGATGGGAGAAAGGTCTTTCTTTTTTAAAAAATTATTTAATTTTATTTGTTATTATTATTTTTTAGTTCGACCACCAGAGAGACAGAAAGGGAAAGTGAGAAAGCAAGCCACCAGGTCTGGGACTCGAACTGTGGTCAGCCATGTAGGAGGAGTCCAGCGCCTCAACCACCACGCCACCTGCTGATCCCAGAGATGTGTGTTTCAAGTTTCAACTCTGCGGAAACGAAAATGGAGACAGATGTGGCGATGGTTTGCCTGACGATGTGAATGTATTTCGTGTCAGTGAACAGCATAATCAAAAATGGTTAAAATGGTCAATCTTATGTTATGTGCATTTTATCCTAATTTTATTCTCTCTCTCTTTGGCTATAGGGCATATGTGCTTGCCAGGGAGACAGAGAGAGAGAAGGAAGGTGAGAAATCATCTTCCGGGGGGAAGGCCACCCTGCAATCCCTTCTCCTCCATTCTCCTCAGGAGTTTGGACACGCATGTGCAAACAGACACGCACCCAGCGCGATTCTCAAAGCCACCAGGTCCAGGACACGAACTGTGAAATTGGCTATGTGAGATCTAGCACCTTAACCTCCACCTTAACCAAAGGCTGGCTCTTTCTTATTTCTTTATTTTTGCTCTAGGGGGCATGCGCTCACCAGAGAAAAAGAGACAGAGAGACAGAAAATGAGAAATCACCCCCCAAGGGGGCTAACCTTGTCGTAGTTCCTTCCCCTCCCTTCTCCTCTCGGGACTTTGGGCATGCACGCACACAAGCCTAGCGTGTTTTTCAAGGCCCCAGGTCTGGGACTCAAACCATGGAGTCGGCCATATGAGAACCAGTCACCTTAACCTCTACGCTACCGCTGGTCTGCACTCGGTGTGTTCTACAAGCTGCCAGGCGACCATGTGGGACTCAATTCCTTTCATCTTTTCTTTTGTAAGAATGATTTATTTAATTTTATGTATTCATTCATTTATTTTTAATTTGACTAGACACACACACACACACACACACACACACACACACACAGATGGAAAGTGAGAATGCAAGTCACCAGGTCCGGGACTGGAACCATGGTTGGCCATGTGGGAGTGTCCGGTACCTTGAACCCACCGCCAACCCCCAGCTGCCTTAACCTTTGAGCTGCGGGGCAGCCCCAAAGCACTTTCTACATATTAACCCAGTTACTTTTTTTAATTTTAGAATTTTTTTTTTTTTGAGAGGTTTTCGCTATAGGGTGCGTGCACTCGCCAGACAGACAGAGAGACAGAGAGACAGAGAGTGAGAAATACACGGATGTTGCCCCTTTGCCTCTCGAGATTTTGGGCACACATATGCATCCGGTATGAGTTTTAAGCCATTAAGTCCGGGACTCAAACTACAGTTGACCACATGGGAATCCAGCATCTTAACCATGTGCCACCTGTTGGTCCCAACCCCGTGATGTCTTCCAGCAACTCTATGAGGTGGGTCCTGTTAACAACCCACCATATGGGCCAGTAGGTAGCGTGGTGGTTAAAGATGCTGGACACCCACACGGCCTACAGCGGTTCGAGTCCCAGACCTGGAGGCTTGCTTTCTCACTTTCTCTCTCTCTCTCTCGCACTCTGGCTCTCTCTCTCTCTCGCTGTGTCCCTTTCTGTCCACATTAAAAATAAAAAGTTGGTGGGACCAGCAGGTGGCATGGTGGTTAAGGGCACTGGACTCCCACACGGCTGACTGTGGTTCAAGCCCCAGACCTGGTGACTTGCTTTCTCACTCTCTCTCTCTCTCTCTCATGCTATTGCTCTCTGTTCAAATTAAAATAAATAAATGTATTCATAAAGTTAAATAAAATAATTCTAAAAAGAATAAAATTAAAAAAAAAAAAAAGTTGGGGCTGGCAGGTGGTGTGATGGTTAAGAGCACTGGATTCCCACATGGCTGGCCATGGTTCAAGTCCTGGACATGTCAGTTTTCTCTCTCTCTCTCACTCTATTCCTCTCTGGTCAAATTAAAAACTAAGTAAATAGGGGACCAGCAGGTGGCGTGGTGGTTAAGGCGCTGGACTCTCCCAAATGGCTGACCAGGGTTCAAGTCCTGAATCTGGTGGCTTTGCTTCTTCACTTCCTCTCTCTCTCACTCTCACCCTCTGTCTCTCTCTGGTCAAATTAAAAAATAAATGAATGAATAAATAAAATAAATAATTTTATAAAAACTAAGTAAAATACATTTTTTATAGTTAAATAAAATATAAATAAATAAAGTTAACATAAAATCATTTAAAACATCATTAAAAAATAAAACACCATATGATGAGGAAACTGAGTCCCAGATGGGGGCTGCAAGGAGTTGGCTGGTGGTCTCACTGCAGAGAACCGTCCTATGTCCCAAGGCCTGGCCTGGAAGGCTTGCGAGTGACACCGGGGAAGGGAAAAGAACATTCCTACCTTCAGAGGAGCCAGCCCTGGCTCTGGAGCTTCCCTGCAGGTTAGGGACGGGAGAGCCAGGCCCCAAGAGGGTGCCCAGCTGGTCTAACTGGGAGCCACAAGCCCCTGGGCATTCAGCTCACGTAAGCAGGAGCCCAGAGGCTGCGATGGGCCAGGCTGAGGCCTCCCTGGGGCTTCTGCTGTTTGTGCTTCAAGAGCGGATGTCCCTGGGGCCTAGGGAGGACAGAGGGAGTGTCCTAGAGCTGCTGAAGGTAGCCCAATAGCCCAGGAGAGTGGAAGAGTGTTCACCAGACCTCTGAAGGACCAGCAGATGGTGTAATGGCTACGTCACTGGACTCCCACGTAGTTGACTGCGGTTCGAATCCCAGACCCGGTGGATTAAAAATCATGCCAGGCGTGGAATGGAGGAGAAGGGATTGTGGCGTGGCCATCCCCCCTGAAGGGGGGATCTCTTGCTGTCTGTCTCTCTGTCTCTCCAACACATTCCCTATAGCAAAAATCTCTTTAAAAAAAAAAAAGGAAGCAGACCCCTGAGTTGTATGGAGTCACTCCTCCCTGGCTGGCCACTGACGACTCTGGGTGGCCCAGAGTCAGGCTGGAGGCTACTCCCATGACGTCCCAATGGGACCCAAAGCCACAAACCAGACCCAGGGGTAGCCACCCATCTGACATCTAGCCACATGCCCAGCTTCCCCATTGGAGGTGAGATGATCTGCCCAGTTTCTAAGAGAAGTTGCTCTTTGCCTCCTCCTCCATGGGGCCTCCAGGACTGCCCACTTGGGCTCCTGAGCATCAGATTGGGCCTCTGGAGGGCTGAGCAGCCCAAGGGTAGATCTAGACCCTGAGGAGTCCTGCTGCAAGGCCTGATGGGAAACAAACACACTGCTGGGGGGTCAGGAAGGGCGGGGAAAAGGGACAGGTCACAGTGGCAAAAATTATGACAGACTCTAATCAGGGTAGTTAGAGTCACTGTGTCATGTCTGGACCTCGGAGTATCCCCCCTTTCGGTTTTGTTTTGAGTTTTTAAAAATTAATGATTTAACTTTATTATTATTTTTAATTAGTTTTTTTTTCCATCTAATTTTACTTATTTATTGTGATTCTTCAGTTTGATCAGAGAGAGAGAGAGAAAGAGAGAGAAAGGGAGAATGAGAAAGCAAGCCGCCAGGTCCAGGACTTGAACCTCAGTCAGCCAGGTGGGAGTTCATGCCTTCACCACCACACCACCTGCCGGCCCCTATTTATTATTGTTTTTTAAATGAATGATTTATTTCATTGTATTTATTGTTATTATTTTTTTTTACATTTGCCACAAGGCATTCATGCTCACCAGAGAGAGAGACAGAGATAGAGAGAGAGAGACGGAAAGTGAGAAAGCAAGCTACCAGGTCTGGGACTTGAACCATGGTCGGCCATGTGGGAGCTCAACACCTAAACCACCACACCACCTGCTGGTCCAGTGCCTCCCCCTTTTTTGTAATTGCCAGAGAAAGAGAAAGGAAGAAAGCACCCCCCCGTGGGGAGTGGTTATACTAGAACCCGTTTCCATTGCTCCCTCCTTTCAGGATTTGGGGTGCACACATGCCCAGAGTGTTGTTTCTTTTCTTTTCTTTTCTTCGGAGGGGTTTATTTTTGCTATACAGTGCGTACACTCACGAGAGAGACAGAAAGCAAGAAATCACCCCCCGGGGGGATGGCCACGCTGCCATCCCTTCTCCTCCAGTCTCCTCTTGGGATCTTGGGCATGCACACGCACCCGGTGTGAGTCCGGGACTCGAACCGCGGTTGACTACATGGAAATCCAGCAACGCAGCCATTAAGCCAACTGCTGATCCCAGTGTGTGGTTTCTTAAGCCACCACAGGTGGGTCTCGAACCACACCCGGCTATGTGAGACCTAGCTCTCTTAAGCACTTGGCCACTCGGCCGACTTAACTGCCCCCATTTTTCCAGACGAAGAAATCGAGGCACAGAAAGAAAGAATAACTTGGTTAGTAACAGACCGAGGGTCTGAACGCAGACAGCCGGACTCCAGGTTCAAAGTGGAGTGTCCATCCGGGTGTCTGTCTCCCCCAAGGACACACATGGAAAGCAGGCCTGCCGTGTCCCCGGGCTCCCTGCCCCTCTCTCCACCTGACTCCCTTTAAAGGTGCCAGGCAGCCTTTACGGAAAGGGCTGGCATTTGCTTTGTGAAGGTCACAGGGAGGTTGAGGGCGGGCGCTGGTGTGTGTCCGCCAGGAGGGGGTGCGGTGCCAGGTGCCACGGCTGTTTGTGGGGCTGGGCGTGCAAGGTGAGTGGGTGTCTCGGGTGTGTAGGAGTCCCAGCGAAGGAGAGCTCTGTGTTCCCGGGCACCCGTGTGCACAGCTGTGTGCAATTGCATCTGCGTGTGTGCGTGTGTGTGTGTGCGGTTCCCAGACGTTCACAGGTCCCTGTGTTTGTAGCTGTGTGTTTCTGACTCAGCGTGCTAGCACACAGATGTCATGACCATCCCTGAGTGTCTGTCTGGCTGCTGGCAGGAGTCTGTCTGCAGGGGGTCCCGGTGCCGAGTGTAATGTACCCAAGGCTGGGCGCCACGGTCGCTGTGGTCTCTGTGGCACTTGTGGTGTGGCCTTGGGTCACCTGCAGGGTACTCACGTTGCCCCGAAGAGCTAGGAACCACACACAGAGTGTAGTAAACACCAGGTGACCCTGACTGCCCTGTGTGTGGGTGTGTCTGTGTGTGTCTGGGTGTCCTGGGTCGAGACCATGTCCTGGTAGCTGCTAGGATTAGTTCTGGGGAGCTAGAATACCCAGGACTTAAAGGCCACGTTGCTGCCCCAGTTCTGTCCAGAGGAGTCTGAACACCCTTCAGACTCCCGGAACCTCCCTCCCCACCCCCACCGCCACCCCAGCTTGGTTTTCAGCCTTGCAGCCCAAGCAAAGGGGAGGGCAGGGCGGGGCAGAGCAGGGCCCTAGGGGCCTGGCTCCAGGCCAGTGGCCTGGGAGTGGAGCCCAGGTTACGCTGGACACCCGTATTTGCCGCCAGGGTGAATGCCAGCAGCCCAGGTTCAGGACACAGAGGGGGTGCGGAATTCTCCTGGGGTAGGCAGGAACCTGGCAGACCCACTACTCATTTGGGGGGGTCAGATACCCTCAGAGCACTATGACCTTAAGGGCCTGGGATAGGGTTGGGGGCCCCACCAGATCCTGGAAGCCACTTAAAGGACTCCCAAAGGCAGACTGAGGGAGGGTCGCCCCCAGCACAGCCAGCACCCTCAGTATGAAGGAGAAAGCTGGCCCTGAACCACCCACCTGACGGATCTGCCCAGCAGGTGTCGACGGGTGTCCTCATCGCTGAAGGAGAAGTGGGTCAGGGACTCGGGGCCCGCGGGGGGCAGTGCCAGGGCAGGGGGCCGTGGCCGAACCCGGGGCACTGCACCGGAGCGCATGGGAGCCAAGCGCCGTTGGGGTGCGCATGGGGACAGCTGCAGCGTGGTGTGGCGTTCGCCGAGGTGTTTGCAGGCCGCCAGCGGCGCCGCCTCCTGCACACCCGCCCTACCCGCGGTGACCCCTCCAGGGACTGCCCCAGGCAGTCGGGTGTCCAGGGCCCCTGCCTCCCCCTACAGGGACACTGCGGAACTGGGCGCTCACTTCCCGCCGGCCTCCTCCCCCCTGGGCCTCTGGGGTGCCCGGGGCTCCGGTTTCCCGGGCTCCAGGCCCG